AGAAGTACCATGTTGTCACAATAAACCAACTCTTAGAAGTACCATGTTGTCACAATAAACCAACTGTTAGAAGTACCTTGTTGTCACAATAAACCAACTGTTAGAAGTACCATGCTGTTACAATAAACCAACTGTTAGAAGTACCTTGTTGTCACAATAAACCAACTGTTAGAAGTACCATATTATTACAATAAACTGTTAGAAGTACCATATTATTACAATAAACCAACTGTTAGAAGTACCATATTATTACAATAAACTGTTAGAAGTACCATGTTGTCACAATATACCACTGTTAGAAGTACCATGTTTTCACAATAAACCAACTGTTAGAAGTACCTTGTTGTCACAATAAACCAACTGTTAGAAGTACCTTGTTGTCACAATAAACCAACTGTTAGAAGTACCATATTATTACAATAAACTGTTAGAAGTACCTTGTTGTTACAATAAACCAACTGTTAGAAGTACCATGTTGTCACAATAAAACAACTGTTAGAAGTACCTTGTTGTCACAATAAACCAGCTGTTAGAAGTACCTTGTTGTCACAATAAAACAACTGTTAGAAGTACCATGTTGTCACAATAAACCAGCTGTTAGAAGTACCTTGTTGTCATAGTAAACCAGCTGTTAGAAGTACCATATTATTACAATAAACTGTTAGAAGTACCTTGTTGTTACAATAAACCAACTGTTAGAAGTACCATGTTGGCACAATAAAGCAACTGTTAGAAGTACCTTGTTGTCACAATAAAACAACTGTTAGAAGTACAATGTTGTCACAATAAAACAACTGTTAGAAGTACCTTGTTGTCACAATAAACCAACTGTTAGAAGTACCATATTATTACAATAAACCAACTGTTAGAAGTATCATGTTGTCACAATAAACTGTTAGAAGTATCTAATTGACACTGAATAGCCCTGATTATGCATTTTCTGTACTTGTAGTATGTATATTTTCAACTCAGGATTTTAGAAGAGTTATAGAAGAAGCAGGGAAAGAATGGGGTATGCCTCTCATTCCAGAAGTACGGCTCAATGAAATTCTAAAGTATTTTCCTCAACTGCAGAATTTAAATGAGAAGCTACTCAGAGAACTTGAGGAACGAATAGAACATTGGTGAGTTGAGTGTGTAGTCATTAAGTTTACCTGAAATTTCAGACTATAAATTAGGCTTAATAGCTTTAATTTTAATTTTAGACTATAAGTTAAGCTTTTATAACCTTATCTTATATCTGTCTGTAAATTATTCTGTGATAGTTAAAACTTAGATTTCAGTACTCTGTACTCCTGTAGCTGTTCTTTTCTACTCTTTATTCCTGAAGCTGTTCTCTTCTACTCTTTATTCCTGAAGCTGTTCTCTTCTACTCTTTACTCCTGTAGTTGTTCTTTTCTACTCTTTACTCCTGTAACTGTTCTCTTCTACTCTTTACTCCTGTAGCTGTTCTCTTCTACTCTACTACTCCTGTAGCTGTTCTCTTCTACTCTTTACTCCTGTAGCTGTTCTCTTCTACTCTTTACTCCTGAAGCTGTTCTCTTCTACTCTTTACTCCTGAAGCTGTTCTCTTCTACTCTTTACTCCTGAAGCTATTCCTTCTACTCTTTACTCCTGAAGCTGTTCTCTTCTACTGTTTACTCCTGAAGCTGTTCTCCTGTACTCTTTACTCATATAGCTGTTGTCTTCTACTCTTTACTCCTGAAGCTGTTCTCTTCTAATCTTTACTCCTAAAGCTGTTCTCCTGTACTCTTTACTCGTGTAGCTGTTGTTTTCTACTCTTTACTCCTGAAGCTGTTCTCTTCTAATCTTTACTCCTAAAGCTGTTCTCCTCTACTCTTTACTCCTGAAGCTATTTCCTGTACTCTTTATCCTACTCCCAAAGCTGTTTTCTTGTACTCTTTATTCTACTTCTGAGCTGTGTTCTTGTATTCTTTACCCTACTTCAGAAGCTGTTTTCTTATACTATTTATCCTACTCCCGAAGCTGTATTCTTGTACTCTTTATCCTACTTCTGAAGCTCTTTTTCTGTACTATTTATCCTACTTCTGAATCTGTGTTCTTGTATTCTTTACCCTACTCCTGAAACTGTGTTCTTGTATTCTTTACCCTATTTCTGAAGCTGTTTTCTTGTACTATTTATCCTACTCCCAAAGCTGTTTTCTTGTACTATTTATTTTTCCCCCCAAACTGTTTTCTTGTACTATTTATCCTACTTCTGAAGCTGTGTTCTTGTATTCTTTACCCTACTCCTGAAGCCGTGTTCTTGTACTATTTATCCTACTTCTGAAGCTCTTTTCTTGTGCTATTTATCCTACTTTTGAAGCTGTGTTCTTGTATTCTTTACCCTACTCCTGAAATTGTGTTCTTGTATTCTTTACCCTACTTCTGAAGCTGTTTTCTTGTACTCTTTATCCTACTTCCAAAGCTGTTTTCTTGTACTCTTTATCCTACTCCCAAAGCTGTTTTCTTGTACTATTTATCCTACTCTTGAAGCTGTTCTCCTGTGCTCTCTATCCTGCTCCTGAAGTTTTCTCCTGTGCTCTTTATCCTACTTTTGAAGTTGTTCTTCTGTCTGTGCTCTTTACTTCTAAAGTTTTTCATCTGTCTGTGCTCTTTACCCTACTCCTGAAGTTGTTCTCCTGTGCTCTCTATCCTGCTCCTGAAGTTTTCTCCTGTGCTCTTTACTCTACTCCTGAAGTTGTTCTTTTGTCTGTGCTCTTTACCCTACTCCAGAAGTTGTTCTTCTGTCTGTGCTCTTTACTTCTGAAGTTGTTCATCTGTCTGTGCTCTTTACCCTACTCCTGAAGTTGTTCTTCTGTCTGTGCTCTTTACTTCTGAAATTGTTCATCTGTCTGTGCTCTTTACCCTACTCCTGAAGTTGTTCATCTGTCTGTGCTCTTTACTCCTGAAGCTCAATCATGACTTTTCTTGCTTATCATTTATTTTTAACCAATTCGAAGAGCAGATATTAATTACTTTGGTTGGTTATCTCTGATTGTTTCAGATGCTGTTTTGTATTTTCTCAGTCATTTAAAGATTGTCATTATGTAAAAGTACAGCACTATTGAATGAAATCAGTACATGTGAAATTCCAAATCTATCCAGTTACAAGATTAGCTTGATATATCAAGATCAAACCATCAACTTTACATTTCTGTGTCGGACACTTAACCATTGGTGGAATAGATTGTGTCATGAAAATGTATACTAAATACATCAGTGTTAAACATTGATTTTAAACTGGTGGGGAGGAGCATGTCAAACTTTCCTACATTAGTGTTAAACATTGGTTTTAAACTGG